TAAGATAATTTAGGAAAAAATAAAAAAACATTGCATAGCAGAAAGCAATATGGATAAGGAAGTATTATAATAAAACGAAGCTGATATTAAATGAAGTTGAAAAAAGAATAACTAGAGTTTGAGTAACTGTAGGTGATAGAAAATATTGGGATAAATAGAACGAGCTTTGGAAACTGTGGAAAAAACATAGTGATAAAACAAACAAGGAAAAGGATGTATAAATATTATTGAAAACAGAAAAATAAAAAAGTGTAGAAATAGGTAACTCAAACATAAAGGATAAAATGGGAAAGGTTGGATAACTGAAATCAAAGAGAAAAAAAGAAGGAATAGGTACTTTAAGTATAGAATAAAATAATAGAAATAGAAGAAATTAGAAGAATAAAATATAAAATCACGAGTAACTGAAAACAGAAATAAAAAGGCACAAGTTCCTTGAAAATATAAAGATATTCAAGTTTGGGTATTGGAAAGATAAACAGATAAAAAATAAAGGACTGTGGTATAGAAAGATGTTACAGGCTGAGTATATAGCTGAAATTTATTTTTAAAATATTTTTGAAGGGCATTTAAGTGCTGGAATTTATTTAAAAAAAGTTATGAAGGACATTTAATAGGAATACAGAGAAATCAAGAAAATAAGTTAAATAAGGTTCCAAAAAGAATACTGTAGTTATAGAGGATACAAGACAATAGATATGAAAGGGATTTACAAGAATAGTACTTAATACAGAGGATTCAAGAAAATCAGTTAAATAAAGGGATCCAATAAGTTAGTTAATTATTAAAGGGGATGGATGGAAGAAAAATAGTTACATAACCAGAATTAATATGAATACTGTAGCTGTCTCTTATACACATCTTAAACTATATGTAAAACATAGTTTCCCATTATTATAATACACAAGTTAGTACACGAACAAATGCTTGCTTTATCACTGTTTTTAATCTATGTCATAATTATTAACATGAACAGTTTAAATTTATTCAACTCACGAGCTGTGGGTTCATGCTCCTTAAATCTCCCCTGATAATAAAAATGCAAAAAGCAAGTGTAAAGATAATTTAGGAAAAAATAAAAAAGCATTGCATAGCAGAAAGCAATATGGATAGTGAAGTATTATAATAAAACAAAGCTGATATTAAATGAAGTTGAAAAAAGAATAACTAGAGTTTGAGTAACTGTAGGTGAAAGAAAATATTGGGATAAATAGAACGAGCTTTGGAAACTGTGGAAAAAACATAGTGATAAAACAAACAAGGAAAAGGATGTATAAATATTATTGAAAACAGAAAAATAAAAAAGTGTAGGAATAGGTACCTCAAACATAAAGGATAAAATGAGAAAGGTTGGATAACTGAAATCAAAGAGAAAAAAGAAGAAATAGGTACTTTAAATATAGAATAAAATAATAGAAATAGAAGAAATTAGAAGAATAAAATATAAAATCACGAGTAACTGAAAATAGAAATTAAAGGGCACAAGTTCCTTAAAAATATAAGGATATTCATGGGGGCCTAAGTATTTATGGGTGTAACTATAGCCAAAGGCCCGAGCCAGGGGTGGGTATGGGAGGGGGTGTTCCCTCCTTCCAAAACAAGATTTTTTTTTTTAATTAGGACTTCTAGATAGCCGGACATGGCTGGGATGGAAAAACTAGCCCTATTTTGCTTGTTTGGTTTTTTTTGGTCCGACTGCCCGACGAGCTTCGGCCGATGAGGGGGAGCTTGACCAGACCGATGATGGGGCTTAAGCCCCCATGCCGCCGCCACTGGGTCCAATAAGAATATTTACAAAGGATCCAATAAGAATATTTATAAAGGATCCAATACGAATATTTATAAAGGATCCAATAAGGACATTTATAAAGAATCCAATAAGAACATTTATAAAGGATCCAATAAGAATAGTTATACATAAGGTGGATCCAATAGAATAGCAACTTACCTCTTGGAAACAGATTTTTTAATGATAACTGTGGGATCAATATGATCTATCTCAGCCTCCTGCACCTCCTGCGCTAAAGTCTTGAACATGGTACGACAAAAACTGCACAAAGCACATTTGCAATATTTTAATAACAAACACCATAGAGAAGCACATGATAAAGCATTAACAAATCACTTATCATGATATTGTTCGATACAATATGCTTTTAAATAATGCAATAAATGATTAAGAATATAAGGAGACGTACCAAGTCTCCAGCGAGCAAGCTAGAATCTCATGGAAAATTCATGGAAAATAACCCATATCCTGCAAATTTGTGGTATTTCCATGTTTTTACTACTGTATTATTAATTGTCTCCCGGAAATTGGTGCCGATGGGTATGACCACACGCAGGAAAATAAAATTGTGTTTTGAAAGCTCAAGTTAAAATTGGAACACCCAGAAATGGCATCTTAACAAATTGGGCCCGAGGTAAATTTTAAACATCCTGTGAGTACAGAATTTCCTATTCTGGAGCAAGAAAGTTTATCTTACCTTATTATATTTTACTAAATTTTTCAACAGAATACATTCTGTCTGTCACTATACATTATTTATTTATATATTTCAACAATATTTTCTGAGGGTGGTCCATACAGCCAGAACCGATCAATGGGGACCCTCAGTACATGGTGCTAAGGCCGCTATGATTATTATATATCAATATTATTATATTGCAGAGTAATCAGAGCATTGCTATTCAAGGCAACCAGTTACAAACTTGCTACTCCTGGATGGAGAGAGGCAATACCAATAAAGCAAGCAGGGTCAGATTAAGATTCAAACCCCAATTTGATTGGACCTGTAGCTTTCACAACTGCAATTTATAATTTCCATAAACAAAATGGGATTGAAATGAATGAACACTTACGCTTTCCAGACGACATCTCGCATTAGTACAGCAACGGGAATGAGGAAAAGCAACATCCAGAAGATGCTACATGAGAACACCATGTGAGACTGAAGGAAAAAAAATAATAGGAGTATGAGTATTTTTGGTATGAATCACACCAAGGATACCCACTAAGATTGGTTTCCAGTGGGGTCCTTCTGGTGGTGAATTGAGCAGTACACTGGGAGACAATCCCCCACACTTTTCCAAAGAATGTACTGTGTACTTTAATGTGCACAAGGAACCAGCGGCTGAAAAGTCTCATCTGAATGATGGTGCGCTACCATTCACTTTCAGCCCTCCAGCTGAAACACAATGAGAGGCAGCGATGGGAATTGAATCTACAGATCTTCACGGTTCACTGCACACGCAGTGACTACCAGATTAGCCGACTAAGCTAGCTGCTCTCTATGTAAGATAAGGAAAATATGAGAATAGGGACTGAAGTTTGTTCTGATTGGACTTTCTTTAATCAAACTAAATGTGTACCTGGTCAGTCTGACCACACCAAAAATATACAGTGCGAACAGACTCTGTAATATTCTCAACATTATGAAAGACTACCAAGTAAGTTTAACTGAATTTGTGTTGAGGAAATATAACTAGACTGTTATCCATGACAAATAAAAACATTTTTTCTTTATGAGGATGCAGGGCAAAGGTGAACACTATAACAAGGCCCTGGAAAGGATGAACCTGATCTAGCATGCATCGCATTTAAGGCTGGAACATAGAGTGAACCATTTTTTAGAGACAATCCACAATGCAAGACTTGGTTAAATATCTAAGAACTTAGTTAATCTAAGGGCATACTGTGGCACGATTCGACCAAAATCAAGTCACCTAACTTCCTGGTTAAAATTAGTCGAATGGAAAGACAGCTTAATATATAAGCAAAGGTAGATCAATGTTTATATTTTCTAATTCAACCATCTTAAATTTTTTGTGAAGCAAGTCTCGTTAGAAAACACACTGTGAGACTTTAATATAAGCCCTGGCCAGACTATCAAATTTTATTTGCAAAAACATGTGACATTCCTAAATATGGTCATGATGACATCATGCCATGACCATGTATTTATTTATTACAAATTTAACATTATACAAAGAGGGATCAAAGGGCCATGGCCCAACACAAAGGTGGGTACCTCTTGATGATACAGGCACACCATGACCATATATAGGCACATCATCACTCTATATATAGGCACATCATGACCATATATGGGCACATCATGACTATATATAGGCACATCATGACTATATATGGGCACATCATGAACATATCGTCCCCTAT